TCTCTCTCTCTCTCTCTCTCTCTCTCTCTCTCTCTCTCTCTCTCTCTCCAACAGGCAGCAGCGGCGGGCGCCTTGAAATTGCTCAGGCCTGTGTGACACTCGCCACGCCAGAAACCTGCAGTGTCTTGTGTCCGGACCTCTAGGCCCTGTCCGGTGGGGAGAAATGGCACTGCAAAATCACCCTGTTATTTTTTGAGGGGCGGCCAGGACCCAATAAACGGTCTGGGCCGCCCTCTTTTTTTCTTTTTTCTTTTTTTCTCCCCAGGGGCCTCCATCCAGACATCAGGACCAGACACCGGACACCGGACACCGGACTGTCTGGAACCCGGTCCGGACGTCCGGACAGTTACCATGGTTTGAAGCCCTGATAAGTACAGTAAGATCATCAGCGAATTAAGTGAATTCCTGACAGGTGTTATTTCTTATTTACGAGTTCATGGACAATGAATGAAGTCAATTCCAACTTTGGACTCGTGTCTTTTTCATAGCGTGAAGTTCCTTACAGTTTATGAGCCTCTACAAAACCGCTGACAAGAGGAAAATAGTTCAAAATGCCTGTCCAAAGTTCTGGACATGGGAGGCATAGGATCGCCCCCAACCTCAACAGCATTCATCAACTTGATTGACGAGCATTATTCACAAAAGCTGCATTGAACTTTGACTGAAGAAACACTTTCACATATGTATGCAATAGGATCCCTCTTCAGTCCTATACACCTACAAACTGAATGACAGCTTCCTGCAAACTTACCCTGGGCAATTTGTCCAGAAGGATGCTCCTTGTTGGTGCCTCCCTCAATTCTTGATCGATCATGTGCAACACATTTGTTATCTGGGCCGTCAGATGGCCTACATTCAAGCACTCCGCTGACTCCGCCACAGCCTTCATTGCACTCTCCACCTGTTGACACAAGACCATCTTTTATGGTTGAGTCCTTGAAGATCATACCAATCAGATCATGTCTGTGAGCATGCCAACAATGAGACAACGTCCATGAACATGGCAATTACTTACTCTGGGTGCCTGGCGGCTGAAATTCCCAAGAGGCCAACAAGTCAAATGCCCGACAACAAGCAGCAAGTGGACTTCTTCCTTCCCCTCACTCTGTCCTCCTTGCCCATGGGACTATACTTCCTACACGAGGGTGCAGAGCATGTGGCAAGCAGGGGAGAGAAATGCAAACATACCTGAAGCCCAGACAAGAATCGCCCGAACACAACCCATAACATAGCTTGAACTACCCTGCCTCTTCCCGCTTATTTGGTTTACTACACCGAATTGAGCAAAGGTCAGATGGAAGTAACATAACACAAAGCGTAGCTCAAACCAGTGGTTGCCCCTTATACGTTACAAGCGATGTGGTCTCAACCACCACACACTCATACAGATGGCAATCCAACCATATACATCTCCTGATGCCAATCTCCTACCATCTCTTCAGTTAGTATTATATGTGTGTGTTGTGGGTACAGCCTGCATGGTGAGCGCATATCAATAACGTGTTCACGCAGAACGGCGTGAACGGGGATAGCGAGTAGGCATCAGTAGTGTGGTTGCGCTAACTGGGTGAGCCGGATTCCACATGTGTAAGCTTCAGATCAATCGAAGCGTCGTTAGGTTCAGAGATCAACATGTCCAAAGTATGGTAGTTATTCTTTGCCCACAAACAGGGGCCTCACGTGCTTGGAAAACCAATTTACACTGCAAATAAACAAACTACAGTCTGAAACACCCCAACAAAGCCTTCCAACCAAAGGATGAACATCAGGGATAGTACCAGGCATCCACTCTCACGCTGGACGTGTTGCTCCTGGACAAAGCAATTTGCACACAAATTGTCTTAACTGATGTCTACAGGCCCAGACCGAAAACCCAAGTCCAGATAGGACACCAAATAGACCATCGGTCTATTGCATATTTCTCAGACAAACAGCAGTACAAAGTATCTAACACTCTGACCAGGTACATTCGCCTGCTCAAATCTCGTTCGGCAAAAGCAAGACTACATAAAGACATATCTGATGAACAAAATCATAGTTTCCTTTTTAATGTGCGATATAGTATATATACCCCGCATAACCCCCGATACCTAGGGCAGCACAAAGGCAGTCAACCTTCTTTCAGACGTACAAGTAGATTCAGGCCTACACAACACCCTGACCCAGCCGCTGCAATGATAATGACAGGTCCCACTCTGAGAAGTGCATTTTCTGAGCAGTCTTTGTGTCACATATCAATATGGTGCCGACCAGAACCAAGAACCGACCTCTCTCAGATATAGTGAGGATAGCACAGCGGAAGACTGAAATACCAATAATCAGACCCAATCAATGTCATGACACAGACTGAACATCATCCTCATCAACATCACTCAGTGTGAGGGGAGACCTGGCGCTATCACACAGAGAAGAAGCGCCAGGTTCCATCATACATGGATGAGGAGGAGGGAGGAGAGACGAATGGGGAGAGAAGGGGAGATGTCAACCAAAATGTCATCGATACTGATCCCAAAAATAGTCTCCCACAATGTCGCTGCTCATATGTCGAGTCTGAATCTCAATGTCGCAACGCCTCTCTCTCTCTCTCTCTCTCTCTCTCTCTCTCTCTCTCTCTCTCTCTCTCTCTCTCTCTCTCTCTCTCTCTCGCGCGCGCGCGCGCGCGCGCGCGCGCGCGCGCTCGCTCGCTCGCTGCACTGCTGCTGCGCTATGCTGGCGCTGGAACCTTACTGCTATCATCGACTACTCCTGCTACTACCTGAAGAATACCTACGAATGCCTACTCAAGCTGAGGCCGACCGGCCATATATAGTGCCGGTTCGGCCTCACGTGGTGTCCTGAGTCCTGGCGCCTGAACTCGGCGCTCAAAAAAAGAGTGGCGCCAAGACTGGCGCCTGAACAGTACCATGGCCTGGCGCCTAAACGAACGGCGCCCAGGGCCTGTGCCCCCTCGTGAAAATTCGCCCAGGGCTTGAATCGGCGCCCAGGGCCTGTTGTGAGGAAACCCGGGGAGGGGTCACCTACTCTTCGTTGAAGTCAGAGGCAGCGGTGTCTGTCACCCGCCGTGCCCGCTTCCGAGGTCCTCAGCGACGAGGTGTTTCTGGCCTGTCACGAATTCATTCAGGATTGTTTTTGATGATGAAGCTCGCTGAGTTTGATGTCTGCTCAACTTTAATGGAATCAACTCACTGTGCTAGTTCGCAGTTCAAAGACTTTTTGGTTATCGAAGAGAAAGAGAAAGGACAAGGGGGGGATGATAAAGGGGCAAGAGGAGGGAGAGAACATTGGGGCAATCTCGGGAACCTCTCCCTCTCTTGCTCTCAATCCTTGACTTGTCCTAAATTTGAATTCTGCATTCTGATTGAACTTACATCATAACAACTTCATACCAGACCAGTCCCCACTTCGTGGAGAGAAGAAGCAAGGCCACCCTGCCCCTAATTCCAACTCAACGGTGACCCCGGATTAGGCTTCCACTCGAAGCATTGGAGTGCCATATGAGAGGGGAGGCAAGAAAGACAGTTAGAGAAATGATGGAGAGAAGCAAGGACCTCAGCCCGTGAGCAAAGCTTGTATTGGCAGAAGAACTGAGTGACGAAACATCGTGACAGATGGGATCAAGACCAGGGGAAAACAAGTGTTTACCAAGAAGACTTCACCACCAGGGCCAGCACGGGAAAGAGGTCACATGACTCGCATCTACAGTGAAAACTGCTTGGTGGTTGCAACATGTTCCAGTACCTCCCAACTACCTTCGAGAGGCAATGTTGGGCACTTGAAATGATCCTAGAACCTGCTGCAGTAAGGTTTGAACAGGCTAATACAGCAAAAGTAAAAACTACATTCTCTTCCTTGACGATGATGGCTGCTGTGCGAGTACAAGAGATGGACGTGATGAGGCACTTCTTGGGTTGTGTCCTAATCCTGATCTAAGTTCGGTTTTTCTCTGCCGTTTGCTGTACTGTGGTGGGATGCAACCTTAGCGGGCAGTGTGGGACGCTGTTCGAGCAAACCAACCCTGCCCCATGGACTCGAAATCCGTATGTTTGGAGTCAGCTATCCAGTCTCAGCTTCGCATTCTCTATCGTTGCAACTTGCAACTCAAAGCATTCTTTAAGTCAGTCTATCTGTGAATTCGCAACTCTGGTATAGATGAGGCTGGGGCAGACCTCTGAAGGGCACATCCAATCTTGCACTGAGGGAGAATGTGGAACAAAAGGGGCATAATCTCCATTCCTGCCAACCAGGCAGCTTGCCAGGGCCAGGGACGGGTGATAACAAGTACGGGATCTATACTCTCGACACACCTCACATGTAGTAACCGTCCTGGAGATTGAAGATGAGTGGCCTTGGGAGTCGCAATGGAGGGTTTGAGTGGCCGTGGGAGATGCAATGGAGGGTTAGATCAACGAGAAGCCGTGGTGTGACTGTATAATCCTCTACTTGCTTGGCCTGCATTGTGATCTGTTTGACAGGATCAGTTCTTGATTTTCCTTGTGATATCGTTCTATGACAATTAGTGAAGATTGGATTTTGTGTGGTTCTTGGATCATACACCGTTTGCCTGCAGTTGCCCTCTGTCCAAGTAAGGGCTGGCCCAGCTAGGGCAAAATCCTACCTTTCCTCCTACTTCCCATCTTTCTTTAGGACCAGTGGTTGGATGGATGGTTACGAGGCTGACAGAGTGACTCAAGACCAAAAAGAAAGAGAAAGAGAATGCTTGTACTACGCCCACTAAAGACGGAATCTTTGGTGCAAATATAGTCTCCTCTGCCAACAATCTGGTATATAGATCCACACAAGTGGGCCAAAGCCCTCCTCCTTGCAAGCACGGATTTGAACCGGCGACCTTGGCCTCAGGAGCCAAGTCTCGTAACCACTACAGCCAAGACACGGTGCTCAAAAGTGGAACCATACCGGTTGTGAAATCCACCCCACCCCTGCAAGGCTGTAGTGTCCAACGCCACCCACACCACACACAACACCACACGGACACATCCCACGGACGCGACAATTCTTGCTCACTCTGCTCCGCTGCACAAGACCCGACACCAATGCGGGGTACTCTTCCCCGTCGGTTAACGGGTGCTTCACTGCTTCCACATCTGGTATATAGATTCGCACAAGCAGGCCAAAGCCCTCCTCCATGCAAGCACAGATTCGAACCGGCGCCCTTGGCCTCAGGAGCCAAGTCTCATAACCACTACAGCCAAGACACGGTGTTCAAAAGTGGAACCATACTGGTCGTGATATCCAACCCGCCCCTGCAAGGCTGTAGTGTCCAACGCAATCCACACCACACACAACACCACACACACACATCCCACGGACGCGGCAATTCTCGCTCACTCTGCTCTGCTGCACAAGACCCCTTCCATCGGTACTTAGCCCGAACACCAATGCAGGGCATTCTTCCCCGTCCAACGAGGCAAAAAGTGCAGACAGCAATTCAGAATTGGACAGGTGGAGGCAGAAAGTATGGAACAGTCTCCTCCGTCAATGAAGCAAAAAGTGCAGACAGCAATTCAGAATTGGACAGGTAGAGGCAGAAATTATGGAAGGCCATCAAAGCGCTAGAAAAGGGACGCAGACATAGAGAGGAGGGCAAACCCAAACAGGCACGTAACAATCAGCTCATTGAGCACTTGTCTGGCCAGCTGGCCACCGAAACTGCCGATGACAGCACCCAACACCTGTTCGGCGCCACTAAGAGTCTCACTGAGCTGCAGGTGGTCCGCACAGATAATGTTAGACTCTACCAACAGATTCCAGACATGAAGGAACAGATTGCTGACCTGTAAGGACAGCTAGCTGTTCGGTTGACCTCCCAAGCTAACCCCTCCAACAAGGAATGTGGTTGCTTCGTTGACTATACCCATTCAGACTCTGGCGCAAACCCCACAC